ACACACTTCTGCATATTGCTGTTGGTTTTATTTACATTTTTAATTTCTTCCACATTCTAAAGTTATTTTATTTAAATTTTTTTTTACACTTGGTTCATTAAAATCAATAATATGCAACTACAATCTGATTCTGTCTTGTCCTTTAGGTGTGTCTTATGAGGCATTTTTCTGTCAAATTTCTGTTGCATTATTTGAAAACAGGCATTTCAAAATGCATCAAAAACCACAAAAATTATACCATTTGAAAGAATATTTATTTTGAATGTCTCTTCTAATGTTTATATATACATAAATTCACAAAATGTATCACAAAAGTTCTGATAGAAGCAGTTGGCCACATCCAGTAAAATGAATGGCTCTCTATGGCCTTCTGCTGGTCAAAACAATTTCTTTCCTAAAATGTAATCCGTTTAGGTTTATTTCTAACCAGCAGATGGCAGAATTCTACACCTAACACCTAGATCAATATCCAGAAGCAACTTAAATTAAATTTAGGTCATCCTTTAAGTGATTTTTTCATAAAAAATTAATATTTCACATGCAAGCTAATGGTGTAATTGAGGAATTTTGTGGTAAATAGGTAAAAAATACTTCATATCTCCCTACGCGAGGAACAGGATTAAGAACCGCTGCTTTAGAACATTGATTTTGAAACTTGTGAATCCATTAGAATCGTTCTTAATAGCATCTTAATACATCAAGCCATATTAAGTGTTTATGTTTTTCTACGGGAGGAAAATGCTTAACGAGAGACTTTGTGCATTACGTTCATATTCTGCTGTTCTGTGGCCACGGATTTGCGGGACTTGTCTTTGTCTTGCAGGACCATGTACGTTATTGTACTAAATTAGTTTTAATCATTAAATCACCATCACGGCGTCTTGTCTCCATTGGAAACACGCTCGATTTGTGTCGATTGCAAGTGACGTCGCAGGTAGCGGAGAGTGCAAGTCTGAGAGTGCAAGTGCAAGTCTGCAGCCAGACCCTTCTCCAAAAACCTTTCAGCTGCAAGGAGTGTGGGAAGAGCTTTAGTTAGCAGAGTAGCCTCATTTCACACAGCCGCACTCACACTGGAGAAAACCCCTTCGGCTGCAATTACTGCGATAAGTGGTTTAACAATACGAACAGTCTAAAGCTGCACCAGAGGGTCCATACTGGTGAGAGGCCGTACAATTGTGAGGATTGTGGCAAGTGCTTCAGTCAAGTCACCTGCGTACTCACAAACGCCACGTTCATGGAGGAGGGAAGCAGTACATCTGCGATAAATGCGGAAAGAGATACGCAGATCCTCGGAATCTTAAATTGCACAAATGCTATTATGCATAAACGTGGTGTTGTTCACATTCGTAGAGATACTTTGAGCCCATTTTTTTCTATGATAGATAAATTATTGGAGAATATTATCTGAAAATGAATGCAATAATGTTGAACTTATAATACTACATCTAAGATGTAGATGTTTTTTTCTTCATCAGAACAGATGAAGAGAAATTACATCACACCTCTGCAGTGAATGGGTGCCATCAGAATCACAACAACACGCAAGTAATCCACACAAATCTAGTCCATCAGTTAACAGCTTGTGAAGTAACAAACTCATTTACATCTTGGATTGACTGAGGGTGAGTACATTTATTTTTGAAAATGTTCATTTTTGGGTGAACTTTTGAGTTGTGAAATTTACGTGTAATGGGGATTTCAAGTGGCCCCAACCCAAATGATGAATCTCAATTGCTGTGATAGTGATATTTTTCTTAACGAAATATAGTTTATAGATTTTAGGACTGTTTTGTAAAAGTTACTAGTAATCAATGATGGCAATTTATTTTGAATGATGACGTTATGTTTTGTACCTTTCTTTATTAGTGTAGATTCTAATTGAAAAAGATAATTGTACGACTTTATATATGTTTAATATAACACAAGATAATTATAAGAAAACAATATTGCCAGAGAGAGTTGGTTTGATATTTAAAATTCTGATTGGCATTGATATGGTCAAATATTGTATTATTTTTCTTGCCCTGTTTTCTGTCAAAACATTTATATTTGATTCATGAAAATGTTGCCAAATACAGTTTTCAATAAAGCATTGTTCTTGTTGTGTGAGTATATTCATCTGCTTTTAATTATAAATTATAATACATTGTTAATGAAGACTACAAAAACAGGATATGTTTGAAGTGTATTGCCACACTATTACTGTGCTTAGTTTGCAAGTTTTTTGGTATGCATTAAATATGTGTGTGTTCTAGTACATTTGCACATATTTTGATTTTGGGCTTATTTGGTGTCATTAAGCCCGTAAAAATGTTTGAAATATTTTAGTATACAGAAATATAATATTTGCTTATTTTTAGGTTGTTCAACATGAGGTGTTCTTTCCATGATCCTTTCCTGGGAAAATAAGTTTTCAAAAATGACAACCCATATGCTAAGAAATGCCCTTTAAGAACATTGTTCTGCTATGAAGAAACAATACTGCTATCATCCATCAATTTTTCCATTACATTTTTCTTCAACTTTAAGGAAAGTCTATATCTTTTTTATCTGTGCATTTCTTTTGTTTCTTAGCATTTTAATCAAATTTTTTTGCCTTCAATTCATTTTAAATGCTCCTGCAGTGTGACAAATGTCTGCGTTAAAATGCAAATGTTCTGTGTAGTCTCAGTTCATTTGAGATTATAAAGTGCAGCCAACCAGCAGTATTGGGTAATTAATTACTGTAATTTAATTACTGTTCCCTTAAAAAAGTAAAGTAAGGGATTACTCTTAATTTTTCTGTAATTTAATTACAGTTACTTGTGATGTAATCGCATTAAAAACTGTTTAGACTAGAACAAATCTATTTGAAACAATAGTGGATTTAACATGAAAATGTAACATCTAGTGTTAAAATGTATGTTTTTATGTATGTAACCTTCTCCCTTTAAATACTTTGGCCAGTTCCAGAATAATTTATGCAATTTTATATTATTGATTTGCAGTGTTGGGGAAAGTTACTTTTAAAAGTAATGCATTACAATATTGCATTACTCCATTAAAAAAGTAACTAATTACGTTACTTAGTTACTTTTTATGGAAAGTAATGCGTTATGTTACTTTTGCGCTACTTTTTAAATCTGGACAGGGCTTGCTTGTTTGTTTTCTAAAATAAAAAAGTTATATTTTTGGCAAACGTAAAAGCCTTTTCACACCAAAAGTGAAATGAATAAGCCTCAGGCTGAATTGGGAAAAAAAAGTAACTTGCGTTACTTATTTTAAAAAAGTAACTCAGATATTCTCTTGTAAATTAAAAAGCAATGCGTTACTTCACTAGTTACTTGAAAAAAGTAATCTGATTACGTAACTCGCGTTACTTGTAATGCGTTACCCCCAACACTGTTGATTTGAAAGAATTAAAAGAGCAGTTTCATGTCTTATCCTTGTTTGGTTGATATGGGATTTAGAAAGTAATCGAGTAATGCAATACTTTGAGAAAGTAATTAGTTCAGTAATCTAATTACAATGTTAAAGATGTAATAAGCTGCACTGTAACTTACCCAGCACTGCCAAACAATAGGTAGCTGAAGATCATCATAGTAAGTTTAATGTAAAAAGTGTATATTTTTTCAGCAGCGGTACACAAACGCACATATTTATATATAACTACTATATATTCGATGTCATGTTTTGCATTTATAAAAAAGAGGGGGAAAAAGGACTGTACCTTTTAAAATAACGTAATAATTAGCAACTGGCTTATTCATTCATTGATTTGTCAGAATAATTGTGTGTGTGTTTGTGTGTAGAGAGAAAGCGAGATACATACGCATGCGCGCTACATTTACACTTCCGGGTTTGTCTTTAAGTGAAATGTAACATTTCGCTTGTGATGTATCTATGAAACTTGTTACCCGGGCAGAGAATAAAAAGGTGCTTAGCTGTAATTAAAGCGACACGTTGTTTAAAGGCAAAAGAAAAGAGAAAAGTCTCTGCGAATGAGACTCTCGCTAGACTCGCTCTAATGGACTGATGTTGCACTGTTGTGGCTTATGACCGGACGGAACAGCAGCATGTCGCGCCTGATGTTTCTAGCAGCCGCGGTGTTTCTCCTGTCCGCTCCTGCGAGCGCCTCTCAGGGGGACAAAGAGCCCGTCTATCGCGACTGCGTCAAACAATGCGTCCGGACCAACTGCACAGGGGCCCTACTGCGCGGATTCCAGTCCTCTCAGCCTCCATACATGACACTCACTGGTACTGTACTAACCTATTTGTGTTAGTAACACTACTAACTTAGTAGAGTATTATGCAAATTGATTTTATTTCACAGCTGGCGATAGAGAATATGTCATAATGTTATTATAAATTAAATTATTAGGAGAACTAATCTATTTAATGACACATTTTGATGTGCTATTATATTAATGAGTATTTATACAAATTGCACAGACCTGCACACACGTTTTTGATTATACATTGACATACATTGTAAAATAAATAAAAAATTGTTAACAAAATTATGTGATAATAACTGTATTGTTTCTTTAAGTTATTATTCCTTAACTTTTATCGTTATCATGGTATTGCCATTACTTTTTTGACATGTACTATAGTAATTCATTCCATGGTTTTGTTTGAAGCAGGCTGGAGTGCCATGCAAGTACCATGGTATATGAATACAGCAATCGCTTGATATGTCATGGTATATACCATTTTATTACATCAACACCGTGCCATGGTACCATAACAGTACTTTTTGTATAATAATTAAAGCAACACTAAACAAAACCCAAGCCCTGCTGAAAAAAGTTCTGAAATAGAAATACAAAACAAACAAAAAAAAAACTTCTTATCTGACTTGGCTTGTCTGGTTGGATGGTTTTAGAGGGGGTTTGGGCACTTTTCAGATTTGGAGACCAGCTGGCCAACCTGCTAAACCAGCTGAAAACCAGAGACGGGTTAAACTAGCTAGGACCAGCCAACCACTATAGGCTGGTGCTGTTTCCCCCCCCCTCAGGAGAGCACAGAAAAAGCAGCCTATGGCTGGTTACCTGCTTGAAAGGAAACATGATGTATCACATACAGTATTTATACAACATTCCAGTCAACATTTGGACACACCTACTCATTCTCAGTAGTAGTAGTAGTATTTGCAGACATTTTAGAGTAATAGTAATGTCATTAAATTAACAAATTATAAATCCGACCTTCCGTCCTTTCTGAAAGTACTGTGTGCAGGTAAATCCATGATTTTGTAACCGTTCCAATCTCCTGTTCGCTCTAACAGCAGATGGTATTTTATGTTGCAGAGCAGTGTTCTCTTATGTTACAGATTATAATTTGAATGTAGTGATTTTAGACCAAGAACTGATTGCTGGAAATTAGGGAGACAGAGCAGAGACCCCCAGTACATGTTGCTTAAAATTGGGCTGTATTTAAAGCCTAGCCTGTAATATCATGTGCAGTGCCATATTGATGTACATACTTTGTTATAAGGATTGCATTGCAAAACCAGTAAAATAATCATTTGTACACTGTCATATACTTGTGCTCGACAGCAAAACATTTAGTTGAACATTGTTAGTAGGGCTGTGCAATATATCGAAATATCGCAAATGTACATATCGCAATATGCATATCGCTACAGCTTGCAATATTTGGGGCCATGAACAAAAGACAAAGAGAAAATCACTCACTGCTCTTACCTAAATAACATGTGTAGCTTAAATAAGAATCGGTGCATATTGAATTCAAAGAGTAAATACTACGCAGTGTTTTATTTTTCCTTTTTATTATTCAGTTCCTAAACTCATGTTAAAATGATTACACTAATGTTCAAATGACATTTTTATTTAATGCTTGAGTAAAACACTACCGTTCACTTTCAGAAGCTGTTGTAGGGGTGCTTTCTTATTAGAATCAGAATCAGAATGAGCTTTATTCACCACTTGAGTGTGCGCAAACACAAGGAATTTGTTGTGGTTTTACAGGAACTCTTGGTACATGCATACATACAAATAACCATATATATATGACACAAGATAGTTATAGAAGTTCACAGAACTGACTCAGCAACAGCTGAGTAAAACTGTTTCATCTGAGCATGTGGCACTTTAAGCATTATCGTATCACATATCGCATTTTTCTTCAATATCGCACAACCCTAATTGTTGGCTTGTTGGCTTTGGATGAAATTTACTTAATATTGATTTTTTAAAAATGTAATATTGTGTATTTTCATGTTTTAAAAACAATGCCACATATGGAAGGATGACATAATGAATATTCTGGCTTTAATATCAGTGAAGCTAAATTTACAGCATTTGTGACAAAATGTTGATTACCACAAAAAATGAATTTTGACTCATCCTTTGTGATCAAACTGAGGTAAAATTGAGGCATTTTCACTGGAGATTCTCTAAAAACAACTTTAAAAGATGCATCCTGGCTTTTTACACCGTATTGAAAGATGTTAGACTCTTATTGGCAGCTTTTCCTTCACTATCCTTTCTTACAAAAAATAATTAAATTTGTAAAGAAATTCATATGTAGACACAACTTATATTTAAGCATAAATTCTTCTAATTCTGTGTGAGATTTGGTCACAGAATTAATTTTGTAATTTATAATTTTTGTAATTTAATTAATTTTGTAATTTTTGCAATCGATCGTTTGAAGTCTGTGATCTTTCAGGCTGGACGTGTCGTGATGACTGCAGGTATCAGTGCATGTGGACCACCGTGGGTCTGTACCAGGCAGAGGGCTACAGCATACCACAGTTTCACGGGAAGGTTAGTGTTAAAGAGACATGTTTTAATGGTCATCACTATGGAAATGTATGTATTTTCAAACCTGATTCTACATCTTTTTTCTATTTCTGACTTTGTGTAGTGGCCATTTGCTCGTTTCCTGTGTTTTGAGGAGCCTGCGTCTGCGCTGGCATCTCTGCTCAACGGTCTGGCATGTCTGCTAATGCTGCTGAGATACCGCAGCGCCGTCCCTCGACAGAGCCCCATGTTCCATACTATCACCGCATTCTCACTGGTGAGACAGTGTCTGTCTGCTGTAGTACTGACAACCATTCTTATTCATAACTAGGGTTCATTTAAAAAAAAAAAAGAAATGCTGCAACCGAATGACTTCCTTGACATTAATTTCCGTTAATGATTCCTGAATTTCCGCGTTCTTGCAATGAGTCAGAAGGAACACTGTACTAGAATACTCTCCTCCACTTTCCTGCAGCACTGTTATCTAGTGTAATGAGAGAAACTGATAATCATGATTATTAATCATAATTTGATTAATCATTTGAGAAGTGTATTTTTACATTTCATCAGAATTATTATAAGCTCATATGCAGGGTTTGTATTACCTCATCTAGTCTTTTGAGTTATTACATTATAAAAACTGTGAGAAGCTTCTCACAACAGCTAAAACAGTGAAATTCCTAATATTTATTCCAATGATTCCAAATTATTCCAAATTAAAAAAAAAAAAACAACAACAATAAAAAGACTTTGTATTGTAGTTACACAAGTACATTTATTCAGCAACCACAATTGCAAACAATATAATTAAGATCCATGTTTAGATTTTTAACAGGTTTGCTTGCAGAGTTGTAGCAAATAGCACAAGTGGCCTCATGAAAGAACATTAACTGGCTGTATTACATGTAACGAGCAGAACAGCTCAATTAAGATCGTTAAACTCCAAAAAAAAAAAAAATTGTGTTTTGAGGTCATTGAGTGCTTTTTGCAGTGCAGAGGGAGCATGTGTGCATGGGATTGATTAAGAGAAAAGCTCTGACTAGGGAAGTTCAAGCCTAAAAGTTCATAGAGGCTTATTACCAATGCAAGATAACATGTGAGATTTGGTCACAGAATTAATTTTGTAATTTATAATTTTTGTAATTTAATTAATTTTGTAATTTTTGCAATCGATCGTTTGAAGTCTGTGATCTTTCAGGCTGGACGTGTCGTGATGACTGCAGGTATCAGTGCATGTGGACCACCGTGGGTCTGTACCAGGCAGAGGGCTACAGCATACCACAGTTTCACGGGAAGGTTAGTGTTAAAGAGACATGTTTTAATGGTCATCACTATGGAAATGTATGTATTTTCAACCCTGATTCTACATCTTTTTTCTATTTCTGACTTTGTGTAGTGGCCATTTGCTCGTTTCCTGTGTTTTGAGGAGCCTGCGTCTGCGCTGGCATCTCTGCTCAACGGTCTGGCATGTCTGCTAATGCTGCTGAGATACCGCAGCGCCGTCCCTCGACAGAGCCCCATGTTCCATACTATCACCGCATTCTCACTGGTGAGACAGTGTCTGTCTGCTGTAGTACTGACAACCATTCTTATTCATAACTAGGGTTCATTTAAAAAAAAAAAAGAAATGCTGCAACCGAATGACTTCCTTGACATTAATTTCCGTTAATGATTCCTGAATTTCCGCGTTCTTGCAATGAGTCAGAAGGAACACTGTACTAGAATACTCTCCTCCACTTTCCTGCAGCACTGTTATCTAGTGTAATGAGAGAAACTGATAATCATGATTATTAATCATAATTTGATTAATCATTTGAGAAGTGTATTTTTACATTTCATCAGAATTATTATAAGCTCATATGCAGGGTTTGTATTACCTCATCTAGTCTTTTGAGTTATTACATTATAAAAACTGTGAGAAGCTTCTCACAACAGCTAAAACAGTGAAATTCCTAATATTTATTCCAATGATTCCAAATTATTCCAAATTAAAAAAAAAAAAACAACAACAATAAAAAGACTTTGTATTGTAGTTACACAAGTACATTTATTCAGCAACCACAATTGCAAACAATATAATTAAGATCCATGTTTAGATTTTTAACAGGTTTGCTTGCAGAGTTGTAGCAAATAGCACAAGTGGCCTCATGAAAGAACATTAACTGGCTGTATTACATGTAACGAGCAGAACAGCTCAATTAAGATCGTTAAACTCCAAAAAAAAAAAAAATTGTGTTTTGAGGTCATTGAGTGCTTTTTGCAGTGCAGAGGGAGCATGTGTGCATGGGATTGATTAAGAGAAAAGCTCTGACTAGGGAAGTTCAAGCCTAAAAGTTCATAGAGGCTTATTACCAATGCAAGATAACAGAAATGTCAAATGAAGAACAAAACTAAACTAAACAGCAGGCCAATATCGCAGACAATTATGCTTAATTAACTGAGAGAAGTATAAATCATGTTTAAGTATGATTAATCGTGCAGCCCTAATTATATATATATATATATATAAAATGTGTCTTGCTATTGCAATGTTCTCACTGATTGCACACAGAAGCAAACATAGAGCAGCACAAACAGGGTAATCACATTTGTTCTTCTGCGCTGGATCAGTTAATCGGTCAAAATGACTTCTCCTGTCTAACTTTTGTCATATCAAATAAAGACAAAAACGCCAAAAATAAATCTTTAAAAAAAATCTGTAAAAAAAAAAAGACTGGATTTGATTTAGTCTAATGACTCTCTAAATTAGTCGAAGTTGACACTGAACCATAAGACTAAAACTTCACTAGGTTTTTATTTATTTTTTAACTTGTTGCCACTATTGTTAAATTCCGTATAATTCTGATTCCTATTCTATGTCTCTGCAAATAAAAGTCTGAAAATGTATTAGAATT